TGCCCTAAAAAATCTGAGAATACTTTCATTCAGGGGAGAGTCAGGGAAGGCACCTGATTTGAGCTGTGAAGAAGAAAAGGATTTTAACAGGCAGAGATGGGGAATCAGTGCACACCATGCACGCAGGATGGCCTTTACAAATGGCCAAAAGTTGAGGGTGGCGGGAAGCAACATTAAATGACCCAAGACTAGTAAACAGTTATGTACAGACCACAATTGCTGTGGGAGATCAGAGGACAGGAAACTCAGTGGGGGCTAGAGGAGTCAAAGAAGGAAGCATGGAGGCTTGAGGTGGGCCTTGCAGGAGAGGTGGGATTTCACACAGGTGGAAGGGAGTTCTCTGTGGGTTCTGCTCCATGGGAGGGGCATAGACCCAACCATAGTCAAAGTGTTCGGTCCCAGTTCTCTCTTCAATCATAGCCATCAAAATCAAGGTTAGGATTAGCAAATAATCATGTATTGAGGGCCATGGGTGCCCAACACTGCACCAGAATGGAAGGAACTTTTAGCTTAGTGATACAAAATGAATGTACGGGAAACGCCAGTGAATGACCACAAATCATAAGAGACAGATTTCTGTCTCTAGCCAGTTGGATCATAGTTTTAGAGCTAGAAGGGACCTTAGATGCTATCCAGTCCAATTCCCTCATTTTACAGATCGGGAAACTGAGGCACAGAGAAATTAAGTGACTTGCCCCAGGTCACACAGTAAATGTCTAAATTAAGATTAAACCCAGTCTTCCCGACTCTTGTCTAGTGCCCTCTTTGTTACTATGCTTCATGTTCACCTCTAGACCCTTGGGAAGGAGTATTTCAGACAGCAGTACTGAGAGTTAGAGAGGGCCAAACTAGATGCTTCTTGTCATCCCTTCTAGTATGTTGAAATAAGACAGAATGGCTGAACAACAGTTAGGAAGGCACTTATGAGCTGTGTGACCATGGACATTACAGAGCCTCTCAGCGTCTTAGTTTTCTCAACTGTAAAATGGGAATCGCATCTGTAATAGCTGTTTACAGGGTTGTGAGCCTCAACTGAATCCATGAACAAAAAGAAATTTGAAAACTTTAAAGCTCCCTATAAATGCCAGTTTATATTATTTTTATGATCCTATTACCTCTCCAGATAGCAGGAAAACAGACTACTTTTAGACCCAAATCTCCTACTTCAAGTATGAGCCCATACTAAGCACTCCTAACTTAGTACCTCCCCCCCCCCCCAGCCCTCCCAGAATGTGATTGTCTTCTCCTGGAGCAATGTTGAGAACTGTTGTGTTTTTTTTTTGTTTGGGTTTCAGTTCTTCTGCTAGGTTTTTCTTTTTTTAATTCTCTAACTTCTGGCAGCTTAGAACCTTATTAAGATAATGTAATGTCATTAACAGCAGCAGGAGGAAGGGAATTAGTTTCATCCCCTCAGGTTGCCGAGAAGATCTGTGTCTGCAGTGCTGGGAAAGCATTATTCTGATTGGGAGCTTGATGTAGGGCGGTTCAATGTTAGGCCAGAGGTCTCCTGGCTCTTTTTATTAACTCTGGGTATGGATGAGCTCATGGGGATCTTCTTGCTGGTCCGGCCTTCTTTTCAGAAGGTGAAATCTTTTAGCTGGCAGGCAGGAAGGCAGCAGATTGGGACTCAGGTAGGCGTGTTAGCAGCAGGAGATAGCAGGAAGGAAGGGAGGGGGCTGACAAGAGGAGAAAATGTGAGTTTTGTAGCTGAGAAAACTACAGACCAGGGGAGGAAATGTGACTTGCCCTAGGCTACATGGTTCCTGAATGGCTCACCACTATCCTTTATGTTTTACAAAGTGCTTTACAGATGGATGTTATTTTATTTAATCCTCACAAGAATCCTAGATGATTATTGTTGTAGTTGTTTGGTTGTATCTGACTCTTCATGACCCTGTTTGGGGTTTTCTTGGCAAAGATACTGGGGTGGCTTGCTATTTACTTCTCTAGCTCATTTTTATAGATGTGGAAACTGAGGGAAATAGGGTGAACTGACTGGCCCAAGGTCACATAGATAGTAAGTATCTGAGGCCAAATTTTAACTCAGGAAGATGAGTCTTCCTGACTCCAGGTGGGGCACTCTACTCACTGTGCTATCTAGCTGCCCAAAGAATCCTGGGAGATAAGTGCTATTGTTATACCCATTTTACAGATGAGGAAACTGAGGCAGAGGAAACTGGGCAAGTTAAACAACTTGCCCAGGGTCACACAGCAAGTAAGTGACTGCAGCAGGATTCAAATGCGGGTCTTTTGGACTCCAAGTCCAGCTTTCTCTACGAGAGACACATATGTATTATACAAGAGTGGTATATGGGAAAGAGTTTTGAACTGCAACCCAGAAAGGATGTGTTCTCAGGCTGGCTCTGCTGCTAACCAGCTGTGTGACCTGAATACATCACCTAAGCTCTGGAGGCCTTAGTTTCCTCATCTGTAAAAGGAGGGGAAGTCAGGTTTCTTTTCTGAGGCTCTTTCCAGCTCCAACATTCCATGATTCTGTCCAGGCAAATGCACACAAATGCATTTATGAGTGTCCTTTGAGTTGGTTGGGTGCAGGACGTGGGACACTGGCAGGAAGCCTTAAAAAAACAGTGAAGATTTTATAGCACTGGCCTAGCTAGTGCCTAGAGGAGAGCTTTAAAAATAGGATAACCTCTTGATCTGTCTGGGCCACTTGGGGTGGGTATGCTGTGTCCTGAAGGCAGAGGAACACACCAGGTGCTCTCTCAAGGATCCTTGCAGCCCTAAGAACTTGTAATTTTTTTTTTGAGGAAGAGATTGAATTAGGGCCAGGGCCCTTCAAATTGTGGTCCAGGAAATCTCAAGGGACAAGGAGGCCCCATCCTTCTCTTATGGCAGCTGTGTTTAATTTTGTGTCTGCTCAATCCCTTATTAATCCCTTCCCTTCCCTTCCCCCCCCCCTCCACCCCCACTGCCCTGGGGCTGGAGGAGAAGAATGTGAACAGGGGCTCCCCAGCCTCAGAAAAAACTTGTAAATGAAGTCTTCCCTTAGGTGACCCCTTTGCTGCAGTTGTTACTGGACCACATCTGTGAAAGGGTCAGAGAGCTGGAAGGGACCTCTCATCCAACTCCCTTATTTTACAGATAAGGAAACTGAGGCCCAGAGAGTAGCTCTGAGACTCAAGTACCAGCCAAGAATATAATCCCTCAATTTAATCCTTGTCATTGCCCTTTAATAGCCCAAAGAGGGATGACAATGCTACCAACTGTGTGACCCTAAGTTAGTCACTTACCCACTCTGGCTCTTGTTTTCCCCATTTGTAAAATGAGGAGGTGGGGCCCTAATTAAAAGATCTCTAAGATTATTTCCAGGTCTAAGAATTCCCTGAAACCCTGTAGATACAATCTGGTTACAAAGCACGGGAATGCAGCATCCTTCAAGGGGAAAAGAAGGGGAGATGTCACAAAAGAGAAGGGAGCTCCCTCCTCCCCCACCAGCCTCAGAGTGCTCATTGGATGGATGTAGATGAGCCTCAGGTCTTTTTGAGCACCAGCTGGCAGAGCTGCTTCCCTCCACCCCCATCCTTCCTGTCTCCCTGAGTCACTCCAGCTGCTTGATTCCCACAGGAACAGCAACTGTGATATCGGAAGGGGTCCTGAAGGGCAGGGGACATCCCTGTACTCTAGGCACTGGAAGGCTAGCTCTATAACCCTGCCCACAAGCCCCCACAACAGTCAGGTTAGGAGTTCAGCCACGAGGGAGAGAAGGACAGGAGGGGGTGAAGCCATTCCCCCAGGTAATGTTCTCACAATGACCCCCTTCTTCCATTCCCCAAGAACCTCTTTTGGTCAATCTTTAGAAACAACCTGGACATGAGAGCCAGTAGGACATCTAGTGGTCACTGTCAATCAGGAAGGGGAAAGTAAAGCATGGAAAGTAAAGCATCTCTTAGTCCCAGGGTCCTGGAAGGGGCAGCCCCAGACTCACCAGTGTTGAAAGGTTTTAATTTGATCAAATTAAGTTGTAGCCAGTAATTTCAGTGTGGAATTGAGTTTCTAAATTGGTACCAGCCGGAAACCAGAGCCCCAACATGAAGTTAGAAGCTTCACTCCACAAACAGGACTTGTAGTAGGGATCTGGGCGACTCTAGGAAGGGCAGCCTACCGTACACACCTATAAATGTGAGTACAACTGTATTTATATGATGCCGATTGTATGCAGGGCCCTGTGTCAGGACTGAGGGAGATGTACAGTTCAGACACACATAGACCCTGCCTTGACTCTGAAGCCTCTTTCAGCTCCAAATCTAGAATCCTAGGATATGAAGAAACAACGAGGTGTAGTGGGCAGTGTGAGAAATTTGAGGTTAGAAAGACCTTAGGGGCAGCTAGGTGGCGCAGTGGACAAAGCTCTGGCCTTGGAGTCAGGAGGACCTGAGTTCAAATTTGACCTCAGACCCTTAACACTTACTAGCTGTATGACCCTGGGCAAGTCACTTAACTCCAATTGCCTCAACAAAAAAACAAACAAACAAAAAACCACCTTGGTTTGAATTCTACCTCTGATGCTAATAAGTTAATTGTGTAATCTCAGTAAAGTCACATATTCTCTCTGAGCCTCAATTTCCACATCTGTAAAATAAGATCTTTCCAGTTCTAGCTCTATGATCTATTAAATGGAGATCATAAAACCTGTGATAAACCCTCATAAGGTTTGAGGGAGAATCAAATGAGACAGCGCTTGTATGTAAAGTCCTTTGCAAACCTTAAATTGTTCTGTAAAGTTGGTTCAATCGTGTCTGACTCTTCATGACCCCATTTGGGGTTTTCTTGGCAAAGATACTAGAGTGGTTTGCTATTTCCTTCTCCAGCTCATTTTATAGAGAGGGAACTGAGGCCAACAGGGTTAAGTGACTTGCCCAGGGTCACACAGCTAGTAAGTAGATGTCAGAAGCCAGATTTGAACTCATAAAGATGGTTTTTCCTGGCTTCAGGCCCAGAGCTCTAGCCACTGTGCCACCAACCTGCCCATAGACCTTAAAGCAACATGTCAGTGTTGGCTATTATTATCCTATGATGCTTCATAGAGCTTACAGTTTAGAAGGATGATAAGAAACCAAGGCAGATATTGAGTTGCATAAGTATATTGGAGAGTTATCACAAAAAAAAGTGCTGTTGTTACTGGGAAGAGAAAGTCATGACTGATCTGATAGAATGAGGGAAAAGCTTCAGGAAGGAGGTAGAGACCATGACACACCTGGAAACTGGAGACGTAAGCTGTGTGAATTTGGGGGAGTTACTAACCTCTCTGAGTATTGTTTTTTCATTTGTTAAATAGGGGTGCAAATACTTGAATGACCATTATGAGGAAATTGACACTCTCATGGCCTGCCTCACTGGGCTATTGTGACAAAAGCATTCTGTAAACCTTAAGGATAAGGAGAAGAGAGAGTCCCCATTATTCATCACAGGAATGAAGACACTTCTTAAGCCTCCTTTATTTAGGCTTCTTGATACAGATGAAATCTAAAAAAAGAAAAAGAAAAAAAGGCTATGAAGTTTTAAGAGACAATATCTAAGTCACATATATGTTGGGGGGTTACGTTTGATTTAATTCTACAATTTTAATTTAATTTAATTTAATTCTACAAATTTGTTTTGTGAAGTTTGGATTCAGTCAAGGGGCTGCACTTGAGGACCGAGAGGGCCACAGGTTCCCCCACCCCTGTAGCTGGGTTTCAGTGATGGGTAAGACAGTCCCTGTCCTTAGAGCCATAAATAGCCGTAACTCTTTTCGGGGGGGCACCAAAATTTAGAAGGTGCTTGTAATTCTATAGCTGGTAGAAATAACTGAACCTAGTAACCAGTTAAAAATTAGTTAAAATAGGAAGCTCCCAGATCTCCTCTCCTCTACCCCCTCCTCCACCAGTAGCTGCTTCATATAAAGGTCTCAGGTTTTCTATCTTCTTTCTGTGGTTCATTGTCTTAGTGTCTCTTCCTACCACGGATCCTTGTATCCTAAGGTCATTCCTCAAAGTTCTCTCCCTGCCCTACTGAATTTATCTTAGAAGTGGATTTGGGGGCAGCTTCTATGCTGCTCACCCTAGGAACATTTTGGGATGCTTTCCTCACATGGTAGAATTGCTAGTTATGACTCTCCCTGGCCTCAAGGAATCTGCACTGTAATAGAGGAGATTAGACATGTAGATGTAGACACAAAAAACCATGGTACAAATTAGAACAAAGCAAAGACCCAAACAAAGTGCTTTTAGGAAGGAGAAAGAAGCGGGACCTCATGAACTATTGATCTCAGTTAACCAATGAAATAGGGAGAGGGAATGGACCTTGAGTTTCATTGGTACAGGGAACTCTCAGTTCTTCTACTGATACACATGAACACCTCTTCAGTTATAGTCTTAGAGGTACATACCCTGGGGAATTGAAAGATTTAGTGACTTATGTAGGATCATATAGCCAGTATGGGCAAGAGGTGAGATTCAAACCCATGTCTTCCCTGTTTAGAAGCCTGCTCTCTAACCCCCCTACCATGATGCCTCTTAACCAATTAAAAGAAGGGGGGAGGGTGGAAACCTCCCTATCAGTAATCCACTTTTAGGAACCAAATGTTAGAGAAACAACCTCATATGAGGAATTTACTTTTAAAAAATTTTTCCAGGGAATGTCTTGTGCTCAGTACATATTTAGCCAAACAATGTAGTACAGAATAGTGCTAGTCCTGGAGACAAGAGGATCCAGGTGCAAATTCTGTTTTGGGTGCTGCTTGCTGGTAGAAGCATTTTCATTTTTAGCCTGGAGAGTAGAGACTGATGCTCTGTAACCATCGGGAAAGTATGACCTAGACGTGAACCAGGTTTAGAATAAGAAGCTGAGGCCCTAGAAATGTCTCTGTCCAGAGAAGGACTCACCACTCACGAGAGCTAGGTAAGAAGAAAAGACTAGAGTAGAATCCCGGCCTCCAGACCACAGAGGCTCTCTCTCTTTTTTTTTTTTAAACTGTGCTATGCTTTGCCTCAGAATACCAGTAACTTAAACCTTGAAAAACATTCCTGTTGATTAGGGAGCATTCCTTTTGCACCTGGTACTTTTATAAGAAGTAAAATTACCTGCAGACAAAGAACAGAGCCCAGGGCTTAGGAAGGGAACCGCCACATGAGATGCTTGGATAAGGTGTGCCCAGCCTTCTATAGTCACCTGGATTAACTTGCTCTCAGGATGAACAGACCTCAACAGGCCCCAGGGTTTGGGCTGGGATAAGGGGCTTTGAGCTGAAGCACCAGGATGGGAACAGCAGAAGGTAAAATGATTCCCCCAGCATCAGAGGTGGGAAAGGGAGGTTCCGAAGCAGAATATGCCATTCCCCTCGTGGGGGGGGTGTCACCCAATGGCCACAAGACTGACATTGTGAGCTCCCCTGGACGCTGTCCCCCTGTGCCTCAGGTGGGGCCCTAATGGGGAAGCCTTGTTAACTCTGAGTTATAAAAATGTGGAAATGCTCACAAATAATTAAGACTTGGAAGAAAGGGGGCATTTAGGAATACTGCTGCCCCTTGCCTGTGAACACATTGTAGGCGAGCCGCCACACTCAGTTGGAGAGTTGACTAGAGAAGGAGCAACAGCATTTGAAAGCAGTTCCAGGCATGGATGGTGTGAGAGAAGGGTGCGAAAGTGGCAGGCCTCCACAATGGGGGAGGGCGGGAGTGGAAGGAATGAAGCTTCTATACTCTTTCTAATTGCTGGTCTATCCCTTCCCCCACGTTTGTCTCCCAGGCAGGACAAGCTGAAAATCCACATGAGGAAGCACACAGGTGAGCGGCCTTACCTGTGCATCCACTGCAATGCCAAGTTTGTGCACAACTATGACCTCAAAAACCATATGCGCATTCACACAGGTGTCCGGCCCTACCAGTGTGAGTTCTGCTACAAGAGTTTCACCCGCTCAGACCACCTTCACCGCCACATCAAGCGTCAGAGCTGCCGGATATCCCGGCCCCGCCGAGGCCGCAAGCCTGCCGCGTGGAGGGCGGCCAGCCTTCTCTTTGGCCCCACCCCCCCGACGGAGGAAAAGGCCTTCATGATGCCCCCCACCCTAGGGGAGATTGGTGGCCACCTTGGCGGGGCAGCCGTGTGCCTGCCGGGCCCCAGTCCCCCCAAACACTATCTGGGGGCCCCGAAGGGAACCCTCAGCCTGCAGGAGCTGGAACGACAGTTTGAAGAGACACAGATGAAGCTGTTTGGGAGGGCACAGCTGGAGGCAGAGAGGAATGCGGGGGGCCTCTTTGCCTTCGCCTTGGCAGAGAACATGGCTTCCCGACCCTACTTCCCTCTCCCAGACCCGTGGAGTGCTGGGCTTGCCGGGCTCACAGGGCTGGCAGGACTCAACCACATGGCCTCTATGTCAGAAGCAAACAATTAGCCCTAACTTTGGTCATGCCCGTCTGTCTCCTGCTCCTCTTCCATACCAAGACTCCCTATGGCCCTCTCCCTCCCCTTCTCCCTTGCCCCAAGACAGGTTTTGTAAGTTCTCTACATTTTATTTTAGAAAAAGAGAAAAAAAAAAGAATAGTAGCAAAGCCACACAACCCAGGCCTCCTTGGGCAGCAGCCACCAATTTTCTCACTTCAAAGAAGAGAAATAACCTTCGAAGGGAAATAGCTATTCACAACTGGACACAAAAACCTAAGCAGACCTGGGCCCTCGCTTCTTTCATCGTTCTTCCCCATCACAGAAGCCGGGGAGGAAACATTTTCTCAGTACAGAGTTGTAGCAGTAGCTAGATGGAGGTCAATTTGTCAAGGAAGGCCAGGAAGTAAGCAGGAAGGGGCAGGTAGGGGGCATTCAGGGCCTGCAGAACCTGGGGAACCTCTGCTCTCTAGACCCCTTTAGTTCTTCAATGGTATGCTTCAGACAGAGGCTACCATGTCAGTACCAATGCAGATTCCACAGTCCCAAATGGGTTCCTAAGAGCTCCCCTTTAACTTACATGAAGGGAAATGTCCCTTCCTATTTTGGAAGGATAATGGCATCCAAAGGAAGAGAACTCTGGAGAGAGAGGGCATAGGCCTGCTGGATTCTGCTCCTCTACTGACTGGCTATATGACCTTGGGCAGGTTATTTCCCTGCTCTGTGCCTCAGTTTCTCCCATCTGCATAAGGGCCCTCCCATACCTACCTCTCAAAGGAAGTTGAGAGGATTATTTAGGGACTCTCTGGGAGGTGCTCTGAACTCCTAGGAGAAAGGCCAGGAGAAATTTGGGCTTATTGTTTTTTGTGTTCCCTTATAAATTCCCATCCCCCATGGGAACAAAACGAGGTCCACATCAGGAGAAGACCATGGAAGAAGGGAACCACACTGCTCCTCTTCTGACTCCTCAGACCTGAGAGTGACTTTTAGGGGCTCAGAAGATTTTTTTTCTGTCATTAGTAGATCCTTCCTTTTCAAAGGAAGCACCTTTAAAAAGAATCCAGTAAACCCTTTCTCAGTGATTTTCCAAGACCTGGGACCTATTTCTTCTGTGATGGTTCGATGGCTCTTGGGGAGCCAGCAGTGCTCACCTGGAAGGTGGTCAGCTGGACAGCTGTTTATTTTAAAACCCAACACTGCCTCTCTTCTACTGCTGCTCCCTCCCCGAAGGTTCCTGAAAACTGTGCTCACGTGACTCCTGCTGATGCAGGGGTTGATTTTATCGTTTTGTTGTCCAGGGGTTTGGAGCTTCTTCCTCCCCAGCTGCCTAACCTTTGTTCATTTCTGTTCATTTGAGCACCTCAGTAAAAGGTTGGATGGGAAATTCAAAGAACTGAATGCCCAGACCTCTGTGTCTTGCTCCTTGTAGGAAGCTCTGGTACCAGACATGGCGGGGAGAAGGTTACAGTGATCAGTTAAAAAAAAAAATGTGTGTTTGAGCTTCTCTGTGGACTTTGATTGGCCACAGCACTCAGACCATATTCCCTGGGGACCAGGGATATTGGGAGCTGGCTGCACAGCTCTGGGCCATTCAGATCTGAACCTAAGGAGAGACTGAAAATGAAGAAGGCTCCACCTGCCAGGTGCCTTCCAGTTCTGCTGTTCTGCCTTCCCTGAGAACTGATTGGTTTCTATAAACGTGCTAGAGAAGTAATCCACTGGGAGAGGATCTTGGGAGCAGGGATAGGCCTGGCCTGACAGAGACTGAGATGTCATGAGATTTCCCTTGCCCTAGGCCCACTGAGTGGTTCAACAGAAAGGAACTCCTCACCCCCCCCATCCCCACTCACCAACACACACACACACACACACACACACACACACACACACACTCTTACACGTTTTAGTTTTCCCTTGGGAGCTGATGCTAAATGGCCCCAGAAGACCACAGACTCCATCACACTCAAAACTCACCTCTCGGACTCTGCTGGGCCCCAGCATCAGCCTAACCTTATCCTAGTTCTATGCCTTCCACTCCTTACACCACACAAGTGACTGTACAGCTTTCCTGTTTCCTCCAACTTGCTCTTGAAGTTTAGAAGTCGCCTGCCTGGGAAGAAGGCTTCTTAGCCCCCTACCGCCATTTCAGACACTGGCCTCCTACCAGCCAAACCTTCCCCCAACCCTAGGGGCAGCCAAGGGATGGAGGGCAAACCAAACCATTTTTTTTTTAAGAGCAAAAAAAAAAAAAGACTACCAAACAGAATCTAATGAATTGGAGCTTTTTGTTTTGTTTTGTCTTTTTGCAGATGTGTGATGACTTCTTCTACACTCAATGTTTTCAGATGACTAGTTACTTCAGGTGTTTTTTGTCTACAATTTGGAATCATTGTAAAGCGTCCAAAGATGTTGAGTACTGTACATCAACAGGAACTTGAAGCAAATGGGTGGGGTGGTTTTGTTTGTTTATTTGTTCTACTTTTGTTTATAAATTGGTTTTGTTTTTCATTTCCATTTCTCTGTCTGTCTGTGGGAGAATCTTTGGAATTTTTCTATTTATAGCTCTTTTTTATGTGATTGCTCTATGTACATTGACACTCAAACAATGTTTGCCTTAGTGATTAAAGGGACAATCTTCCATAACTTTGGTGGCACGCGGCATCCTGCCGAGACAAACTCTCAGCTGATTCTCTGGCCTATTTATTAAACAGTATTAATTGATGACTCGATGGCATTCAGACTCAGTCTTTGTGATCCCTGAAGCATAACATGACAGCCACACATAGACCTTTCACGATTAGGGTTTTGTCTACTGGGTACCTTCCATCTATCTTGATCAACTCCCAGGAAATGTCCTTAGTTCCCACTTTGGGCCAGTAGGCCACAGTCTCCACAGGGAGGAGCTCACAAAGGCCTGAACAAAGGCTCATCTCCCTGTAAACTCACCAAGATGATCAGAGAATTCAAAGCCACCTTCCAACAACAGAGAAAGCTAGATCCCCATTCAAGTGAATATTGGTGGTTTTGGTCCAGAGAAAGCTATGTTTCTTTCATTCCCTACTTAAAACTGATTTTTTTCTTTTTCTGGAAAAGTCTATCAAGGTAGGAGAATGGGCATTGGTGAGACTAAGCTTTATGTCTTTGTAGTTTTGTGTGGACTTTTAGATACAAGTTTAGAAAACTACACGTGTGTGTGTGTGTGTGTGTGTGTGTGTGTGTGTGTAGAAGTATACATGGATGAGAGGCGCCATGGAGCTCTTTAGAGCCACCTCACTGGCTCTCCAGACCAGCCCCAGAGAGCTGTCTCCCTCTCTGTTATGACTTTCCTCATCCACTGTCACTCTCTGGTGGATCCACGGCATGTCATCTGGAGCCTTCTATGGCCTTCACAACCATAGAGAGCACCAAGAAGGAAAGAAATAAGTCAGAAGATGGATTTTAATATTTAAACCTTGACTCACCTGCAATGCTTAGAGAATGAAATATTTAGTAAACTGAATTCTAAAAAGTCATTGCTTGAGTGCTAACATTAAGCTTCTCCTCACCCATTCCTGCCACACACAAACTTTTTGGTTTCAAACCTTAGAGCTATGAGGAAAGTCTAGTCAACAAAATAGAATCATTCATAGCATTGTGGAATGAAAGTCAAAACATCCGAGTTCTAACCCCAACACTGAAACTAAATAACTATGACCTTGGGAAAGTCACTTCCTTTATCTGTTTCCTCACCTTTAAAATGAAAGAATTGGCCAAAAGAGTCATTAAAGTACCTTCCAAATCTTAATAGTGTTTACTAATTGGGGTTTTTGCAGGACCTTGAGGTCAACGTTCTCAACCTCTGGGACAATTACCGAAGGCTATAACTGAATATGGAGAAGATGTAGGAGACTGGGCTGAACGTAGATGGCCCCAGGAAGGTTTTTGGTTTGGTCTGAATAATTCCCTAATATAAGCTTGTTTTCTTGTCATTTCCCTAAATGTGGAGAATAGCAAAAATAATGCTAATTTAGAGAGCTAGTTGTGTTTGAGTCAATTGTGTGTGTATGTGTGTTTTACTGTACCGTATAAACTCCTGATCTCTTTCTATCTCTGTCTCTTTCTGTTTCTCTCTCTGTGTCTTTCTCTGTCTCTGTCTCTCTTCCACTCCCCTCTCCTTACATCTCCTCAAACCATACTCTCAAGGAAAGGCTCCAGATAACCATATGTACCTCTCAGTGGGTGTATGTTGCTGTTTTTCCTCTCCTAGAGGGACTTGTCTCTGATTATGGAAAGAAAAGATACATCTATTGGTAAGTGAAATAAAGGAATCAGTGGCAGGAAAGGGAGGCATTTGAGGAAGAGTGGGGACTTCCTGGCACCCTTAAAATAATATACCAATAAGTAGTTGTCCAGCCTAGCAGGAAATCTCTGTGTGTATAAGAGACAGAGACCGAAACAGATAGAAAGTACCCAAGAACAAAAGTACACTAGGAGTCAGCCCTGATTCTGAGGTCTTCCTCTCTTATATCCTGGAGAGTAGAGGCCAGTAACAGAAAAATGCTCTTTGGGATGAAACCCCTGAGGATTATGCTAAGGCCTGCTTTCAGCAATAAAGGGCGTATAAATCATGTCATATGAGGATGTGTTGATAAAACTGGGGAGGACATATTAGCTGTATTTAAAAGGTCTGACATGTAAAAGAGGGATTAGATTTGATCTGAATGCTTTCAGATTACAGATCTAGCACCAGTGGGCAGAAATGAGAGGAAAGCAGATTTCACCTAAATAGAAGAACTAGCATTTATAGCAATTGTATCATATAATAAAGTATTAATAACTTTAAGGTTTTCAAAGCTATTCAAAAATATTATATCATTTTATCCTCACAATAAACATGGGAGGTAGATGCTATTATTATCTCCATTTTACAAATGAGGAAATAGAGGCAGGCAGAGGTTTAAATGACTTGCCCAGGGTCATACAACTAGTAAGCATCTGAGGCCAGATTTAACCGCAAGTCTTCCTAACTCTGACCAGGTTCTATCCATTGGGCCACCTAGCTGTCTTTTAATATTGTTGTCGTTCAGTCATTTCAGTCATGTCCAACTTTTCATGACCCCATTTGGGGTATCTTGGCAAAGATACTGGAGTGGTTTGCCATTTTCTTTCTCCAGCTCATTTTACAGATGAGGAAACTGAGGGAACTGTTAAGTGACTTGCCCAGGGTCACAAAGCTAGTAAGTGTCTGAGGCCAGATCTGAACTCGGGAAGATGAGTCTTTCTGACTCCAGGCCAGCCCTCTATTCGTTGTAGCACCTAACTGCCCCCCTCGTAATATTATGAAGGACTTTTATAACAACTTGAGATATCTAACATTGGAATGGGCTTCCTTGGAGGAGTAGCAAGACCTTTGTTAAGAATTCATAATTCACATTTCTTTAGTGCCTAAGGATTTAAAAATCGCTTTCCTCATAAAAACTCTGTGAAGTGGATAGTGCAGGCGGTTTCATCCCTGTTTTACAAATAAGGCAACTGAGACTCGGTGTGGTCAAGTACCTTGTATATCACATAGCTGGTAAGCATCAGGGTTCTGATGCAAGTCTCTTATTCTTCCCACTATGCCAAACAACCACTAGCTCCAGTGTTCAGGTAGAGGCTGGGTGACCACCTCTTGGGGTTGCTGAAGGAGGGACGGCTGAAGCAGGTGGAAGGTCTCTGCCTGACACAGAACCCAGTGAAAAGGCTGGTTCCAAGCCTCTAGCTGTTATTCATCCAATCAGTCTCTTTTTCTATACCTTTGAAGCATGATGTGTCCCATTGTATATGTTCTCAGCATGGAGAAAGGTTAATAAGGTGGAGGATAGTACATCTTCAAGCCACATCTTCCTTTCCAGAATTCAAAGCCCTTGTAGTCTCTGTGTGTCTGTCTCTCTGTTTCTCTATCTTTCTCTCTGTCTCTTTTTCTGTCTGTCTCTGTCTGTTTCTCTGTCTGTGTCTGTCTGTCTCTTTCTCTTTGTCTCTCTGCTACCCTTCTCTCCTTACATCCCATCAGACTCTACTCTCAGGAAAGGTTCTAAATAACCATATATACCTCTCAGTGTGAGTGCATATTGCTCTGTTTCCTCTCCCAAGGGCACTTGTATTTTACAAGCCTTGTCTCTGACTGTGGAATAAAAAGGTGCATCTATTGGTAAGTGAAATGAAGGAATCAGTGGCAGGAAAGGGAGGCATCTGGGGGAGAATTTTTGGCACCCTGAAATAATCAGTATAACAATAAGCAGCTGGCCACCCTAGCAGGGAATCATAGACACTCACTGCTCTTCTGCTTCTTTCAGAGAATGGAAGAAACCAATTAATGGAGGAAATTCTCTAATGGCATCCCTCACTCACCTCCTGGGGCCTGAGGGCATATCTTTGTGCCACCACCAAGATCACAAGGTGCTTGTGGGAGAAAAGGATTCCTTCTCATTCTCTACCATAACCCTTTCCCTTGCCTTTCCCTAACTTTGGGCAGAAGCAAGATGAAACTCTAATCTGTACATACCAAAATGAGATAGCTAATACGAAGTCACTGCCTTGCTCTCCTAAAAGGAGATAAAATGTAGGAACAGACATAACAAATTCCACCAAAACTTTTCCCATGTGGGCCTCTCATTCTACATATCTCATAATCCATCCACTCATTTTTATTCTCACAGGACCCCATTTTTGACAAACTCTATTCAGGGTGATAAAAGCTAAAAATTAACCACCACTGAGAATTAACAAGGCAGATGGAGTTGGATTCTTCTCCAATTTCTGTCTGAAATAAAAAAGATCCATGTGATGGTGATGATAATTATTGACAGAAAGCTTTCCACCTCTTCTAAGTAACTTCATGTGATCCTCACCATAATTCTGGGAAGCAACTAGGGCAGATACTATTGTCCCTATTTCCAAGATCAGAATATACTCGCTGAGAAGGTACCTTGCTCAAGATTATACAAGTTAGTGGGGAAGCTGGGACTCAAATAGAGGTCACTTTTTCCATTACACCGTAATGACCTCCTGATCACTCCTGGATGGAAGAGGACAAGTGTAACTGAACCAGAAGACATAAGACCTGATGTTCTGACATGTTCCCCCCTTTTGACAAAGATCATCATATCACAGATCTCTAATAGAAAGGACCTTGAAGACCATCTAGTCCTAGCCCCTCATTTTACAGATATGGAAACTGAAGTGTAATAAGGTTAAGAGGGGCAGCTAGGTGGTGCAGTGGATAGAGCACTTGCTCTGGAGTCAGGAGGAACTGAATTTAAATCCAGGCTCAGACCGGACACAACATTTACTCGCTGTGTGACCCTGGGCAAGTCACTTAATCCCAATTGCCTTGCCAAAAAAAAAAAAGTAAAGTTAAGAGACACATCCAAGATCATATGGACTATTGGAGGTGAGATTTAAACCTTGGTTCTCTGACTCCAGCACCAATGCTCTTTCTATTGTACCACACTGTCTCCTAGTTCTCTTCCTCCTACTACACTGTCCCCAAAGTATTAATTCACAGTTTCCCCCAATACAGTACTATGAAAAATAACTATTTGCTCACCAAAATTGTGTCCAGCTCCCTTTGTTCTCTTAATCTCCATCCTGCATACACCATTGGAAGTCTTCAAGGAAAGGATGGATGACCATCTGCAATGTAAGTCATAGAGAGGATTCTTACTCAATTATAAGTTAGACTAGATGACTCCTGAGATGCCTCTTAAGCCTGAGAGTCTGTGGTTGTTATTACAGTAATACATTAGTGACAGATTTACCCACTGTCAGAGCCATTACCAGGGCAGTGTGACTGGGGCTTCATCCCCAAGTGCCAACATTGAGAGGATGCTGACAGCAGTTACACTCTAGCAATGTAAGGACAACTGAACTTGGCATCTACTTAGTAAGAATAATTGGCTAAAGATAAGAAGCTACCAGATGGCATGGTGCCAACTACCTGTCAGGAGATCTCTTCTTCAGTTATTGCCCCTCCCCATATACATTGTGGCTCTCCTGGCAACATTTCAGAGCATTGTTTCCTAAGCTTGTTCCAGGAGCATTTTGTGTTCCAGGGATGGCACTATCTATACTGATGTTTTTCATCACATTATAAAAAGCCAGTATAGAACAGTGGAGATAGTTCTAGACTTGAAGGAAGGGGAATCTTGATTTGGAATCTGGTCTTTTCATTTCGTTCCACTTCATCTGTAAAACAGAGATAATGTTTGTGATATCTACCTCCACAGAGCTATTGCGAGGATCAAACAAAATACATATAAAGCACTTTGCAAACCTTAAAGCTAGGGGCGTGCTGGTAAATGTTTAACAACTAGCTGTTGGTGGGGAGACAATGTATGTATGTATGAGACACTTCGAAGTTTAATCTGCATTAGCTACATTTTCTCCATCACTTTCTTAAGTCTAGAAATCAACAAAATAATGAATCAAGCTTTGGTTTGAAGAACTTGCTCTGAGGTGTAAATACTGACAATGAAAATTTAACAACCAGCTCTTGGGAGGTGGTATAAGTCAGCTCCAGCACACCACTGCTTAAAGCCATCTACAAATGTCAATTACTGTTATTGTCTGCTTAGCCAGGACTACAATGAATGATATTTCTCAGACATTTGGTGAGATTCATCTGGGATTTCAAATTCAGATTTTTGGAAGAAAAATCAAGTTTTTCTCATCTCATGGCAGAGCTTGGTTATAATGGTGGGACTGGGAAGTTATCAGGTCTTTTCCGAAACATCTAGCTACAAGCTAACATTTATATGGCAGTTTAAGGTTTATGAAGTACTTTATAAGCATGAAGACATTTGATCCTCACAACAACCTTGGGAAGTGGATGCTATTACTATCCCTATTTTACAGATGAGGAAATTCAGGCAGACAGAGGTCAAGTGACTTGGGCAGAGTACCACAGCTAGTAAGTGTCTGAGTCAGGATTCGAACTTGGATCTTCCTGATTCCAGGCCCAGAGCACTATCCACTGTATCCCAGCTGCCATATTTTTCATTCTTTTTTATTCAGCAATATTACTAATTAGAGAGACAGCATAGCATTGTGGACAAAGAGATTATCTCAAAGTCAGGAAGACCTGAGTTCAAGTCTCACCTCTCACACAAACTGACCGTGGGACCCAGGAGAAGTTATTTAAACCTCTCAATACCTCCAGGAAACTCTCCATTGGTTGCAGAGGAGGTGCCTCACTATGGGAAAAGTCAAATAAAGTCAACAAGCATGAATTAAGTGCCTACTCTGTACAAAGTATGACATGAAGAAAAGCAAAAATGGAGCAGCTAGGTGGCGCAGTGGATAGAGCTCTGGCCCTGGAGTCAGGACCTGGAGTCAGCCTCAGACACTAGACACTTACTAGCTGTTTGACCCTGGGCAAGTCACTTAACCCCAATGCCTAACCAAAAAACAAAAAAGCAAAAATGGTCCGTCTCCTCAGAAAGCTCACGGTCTGCTAGGAGAATCAACATGCAAACAACTCTGTACATACGAGATAGACATGGGACAGCACAGAGGAGAAGTTTAAAGGGAGCAGGTTCTCACCTCAAGCTCTCTACACTGATGGAATCACAGGTTTATTGAAATAACAACAACAACAACAACATAAAGTTTAGTAGAGGTACCTAAGTGGTTCAGTGGTTAGAGTTCTGGCTCTGGAGTTAGGAAGACTTGAGTCCAAATCCAGCCACAGACACTTACTAGCTATGTGATTCTAGGCAAGTCACTTAACCCCTGTTTGCCTCAGTTTTCCCATCTAAAAAATGGGGATAACAACAGCACCTACTTCTCAGGGTTGCTATGAAGATCAAATGAGATAATAATTGTGAAGCACTTAACACAGTGCCTGGCACATGCTATTGTTCAGTCATTCAGTCTCATCTAACTCTTCATAGGCCCATGGGCAACACTCTTCATGGGGTTTTCTTGTCAAAGATACTGGAGTGGTTGGCCTTCTCCTTCTCCAGTGGATGCCTGCCTCACTGTGTGGTTGTGTAGAATCCTATTCTAGCATTCTATGAACAACCCACTTCCCTCCAGGAGTCCCCTTGAAGCCTGAAAGCATTCCTGCAGCTCTTCCTGGGGTCCCCTTTTCAGCTAGAATAGTTTCAGGCCTTGTAGAATCTGACTCTGCTGATCACAAAGGACCCTGGACAGTTCCTTCCTCATTAAGGTAGCAGGCATTGTTTCATTTGAAACGGACATGGGAGGAAGGAAGGGAAACAAAGTCACATGAGTTTTTGAAACTCTGCATCTATTATGGATCATTCATTGGCTGTCTTTTGGCTTGCTCCTTTTACTTTTTTCAATTCATCTCACTCTCTCTTTTTAAAAAGAGAATCTAGATGTACTCTAGAGATTATTAATGTTGTCATTTTTGATAATCCAATGATGATGGTGATAATTAATAGATTACCATTTCCAAATGGGGCACAGAGAGAAGTAAATAAGTAAGAATGCTCCTTAACTTCTTTTGAAATTTGAATTTAGGGTTGATTACTTTTCAAAGGTTTGCAAGGTGAATAAAGTTGTTTGAAGACACCCTGGGAGACCCCACTCACATATAATGAGGTTTGATTGCACGTCCTGGGTTTTTGCCTGGGACTCTTCATCTATGAATGCCTCCTGATTGCAAGATAAAAGACCTATTCTGTATCCTATCTCTCTATTCAGGTACCACTCTGCAGCTGATTACTACCTGGCAAGCTTGTCTTTCCTTCCTAGCCCAAGCTCTCTAATGTGGAAAGAGTGGTCACACATGTGCAAAGGCAGAATAAAGTGGCCATGCAGATGCTCTGTGCTCAGAACCAGAGGCTGGGATGGTACTATGTTTCAGAGTTTGTTAGCATCATAGAATTTAGAGCTGGGAAGAATCTTAGAGATCATCGAGTCAAGTTATCCTTTCATTTAGGAATAAGGGAAAGGAGGCCCAGATAGGCAAGTGACTTGTCCACAGGTAAGCAGTAGTAGAGATGGATGTTGAACCAGCATGGTCCAGTGCAAACAGCACTGGATTTGAAGTCAGAGGATCCAGATTCAAAATCTGCCTGTAAGTACTAGAGCAGGTCACATGAGGCCCTCAAAGGGCCTCAGTTTCCTCATTTGTAAAAGGAGAGGGTGATGTAAAAAAAGGGCCCCAGTTTCCTCACCTGTAAAAGGAGAGGGAGAAGAGATCTCAGAGACACAACCTGCCTTGCTCCAGAGCACACAAGTAGCAAGCCGGGTGGCTCCTTCTCTGATCTATGTTGGCTGTGTGACTCTGGGCAAGTCTTCATGCTGCAGGCAACTCTCCAAGACTATAAATACATTTAAAGAAATTTATAGTCTCCAGGGCTATGAAGAAATAAATAAATAGTGTGCAGAGCAGATGTGGCATTGCATTATAGAGGAAGTTTCCTTATTAGCCATTTTCCATACCAATTAAACCAATCCTGGGACTCCTCACCCATCACCCCTTGCCACTACATTTGTAGCTGTAACAATCCCTTTGCTGTTTACATCTGGAAATTTTCAATACATATACACCAATATCATTTTTACCTATATCATCTCATTGTGAACCTCACAACCACTCTATGAGGTGGGACAGATATTCTTACGCCCATTTTACAGACAAAGAAACTGAAGCTTGAAGAGATGGATTGATTTGCCCAAGGTCACATAACTAACTAGCAAGCAAAAGTCATGCCCAGGCAGGTCCTACCAAGCTGGAAGGACTGCAAGTGCTCCTGATGCTAAATCTAATGCCCCTTCTGCTATATAAAAAGAGGAAATTTTGACTTGGAAAAAACATAAATGTGGTAAAAAGACTGGGCAATGAAGTGATCACTTAGTCATAGGTCATAAATTTAGAAGTAGGAAGGGGTCATAAGAGGGCGGGTAAACCCACACCCTCATTTTACAGATGAGGAAGCTGAGGCACAATTAAGTCATGCCCTGGAGGTCTTAAAGGGAGACACATGGTCCATGAGGTACAAACTGAGGGGAAGGCAATCTTAAGGAGCTAAGCAGTAGCAGCTTTGGTGGGTGGGGGCAGCAGCAGGCCACAGTAGTGGAAGGTTGGTGTCTTCAACCTCAGACTTCTTAAGTAGAGCTGGAAAGAGAGAGAGCAGCACAGAAGCAACAGGGGAAAGGGAGACACTGAAAAGAGAGACTGACAGGAGAAGGTGAAAGGAGGCCTATCAGCCCCCCTACAACAGACGTCTTAGAGCAGAATGCTCAGGCTGAGGCTCTCAGTTGTACTTCAAGGTCTGAAGTTCCCAAGACAAGGTTTGCTCTTTCCTTGACTCCCTTCCCCCTGTGCCTGTCCAGTAATAGACACTCTATCTAGTAGTAAGTGGGCAGCTAGGTGGTGCAGTGGATATAGCTCCAGGCCTGGAATCAGAAAGACTTATCTTCCCGGGTTCAAAGCTGGCCTCAGCCACTTACTAGATGTGTGACCCTAGACAAGTCACTTAACTTTGTTTGCCTCAGTTTCCTCATCTGTAAAATGAGCTGGAGAAGGAAATGGCAAACCATTCCAGTATGACAAGAAAACTAAAAATGGGTTCATGCAGAATCAGAAACAACTAAACAACAATAGCAGCATTACAACAGTCACCTTCTCCTGGTCACTTTTGAGGTCATCAATGTGTTTC